CAACAGCACTGTGGTTAACCAATTGGTTGGAATTGGAGGCAAGTCATTTGAACGAATAACCAGTGTTATGACTATGTTTGCCATACGAAGGTGTTTGGATGAGGAGAGAGACAGGGAAGGAGCTGGAGCAGCTTCCTTGAGGACCCAGAGATAAAAGGAGGTGAGCAGGCCTGTGGCGTAGAAACATCATTTCTGAGAGAAGCTCTGGCATAGTAACAATTTAGGGCTCTTCAAATCAGAGGAAAAGGCCCGTCTAGCCGAACGGTAGAGCATGGCTTAAGAGGACCTCGAAGGGAGGGCAGGGAAGCACCTAGGACCTAGCTTCTAGCTTAAAGTAACAGGATGCCAACAGAAACTGAATACTGTCTGTACTATGAATAGATTTGTATTTTTAAAGAGCCACTGAGCAGGTGCAGATGTGTTAATTGGTAACATTAGTGGCATTAATTCAACCATCTCAAGATTCTTGGAGAGATGAGATAGTTCATTATTTCCAAAATCAATGGATTAACATATACAATTATCTGAAATTTGGATATTTTCATGCATATAAAGACCAATTGATTGCACATATTATTAATCTAGTCAGCAAATATTTTTCATTTATTACTTGTAAAGCATGGTACTAGGTGTTTTACCTAGACTTTCATTTTATCGCTAAATAGCCTGAATTGGAAATATTATCCCCATTTTATTTATTTATTTTTAAAAATAGGAAAAGCCTTCTCTGTAATTTTTTTTTCTTTATTGATTTTAGAAAGGGGAAGGGAGAGGGTGAAGAGAGACAGAAACATCGATGAATGAGAACATCGACTGGCCGCCTCCTGCATGCCCCCCACTGGGGATTATCCCACAACCTGGGCATGTGCCCTGACCGGGAATCAAACCGGCGACCTCTTGATGGAATCGTCGATGCTCAACCACTGAGCCACACCGGCCGGGCTTATCCCCATTTTATAGATAAGAACCGAAGCCTGGAGGGACAGCAACTGGTTTAACACCACCACCAACCACTAAGCACAGAAGCCAGAACCAGAAGCCTGATCAACCTTCTCTATGCCTGATTTCCCACTTGCACAACAGGGATAATTAATAGTATTTACCTCATAAGAGTATCTGAGAATTAAATGAATTAATCCATATCACGCAGAGTAAGCTGTCAATATTAAGCTATTATTATTGTTAGCGTCATTGTTATATTAAGACCTACACTATATGTGGCTTTGAACTTGCGAAATAAAATCGAGCTATAATTTTCTTACAACTCTCGAATCTTATGATAACCAAATTTAATTATATATCATCTACTTTTAATTAGCAATGGCTGTATTAAATCATTTTCCAAGTATCTGGGATGAGTATAAACGACCTGCTAATAATTCTCTAAACACCAACCATGTAAGAATGTAGAGTACACTTCCTCAAGGTGGCAGCATAGGTAAACTTGATACTTGCCCTCTCCCACAACCACATCAAAATTACAACTAAACCGCAGAACAAACATCATTAAGAATTGCATGAAATCAAGCTGAACAGAAGTCCTACGATTGTGAAATTAAAGAAGCCACATCAAGACAGGTAGGAGGGGCAGATGTATGGAAAGGCTGGACCCCCACCCACATGTGGTGGATAAAAATCTGGAGGGGTATCTCGGCTGTAAAGATCCTCTGTGAGGAGTGAGGGGTGCAGGCCCTCACTGGGCCCACACCCAGGTTTCCAGGGCCAGGAAGAGAAATTCCCACAACTCCTGGCTGTCAAAACCAGCGGAAACTGAGGCTGAGTGAGAACGAGGGCTGCTAGAGTCCCAAGCAGTTCCTCAGGCCCAGACACAGACTTATTCAGACTTACTCCCACTGAGCTCCAGCACAGGGGCAGCAGCTGGAAAGGCACCAAAGACAGATAGGGAGGAACTGAATTGTTTGGCATCAAGGTGACAGCTACAGGGGCAGCCTTCTCCCAGACCAAAGGCTGGCAGAGTCCATTATTCCTTTGATGAGCCCTCCCCCCACAGACACCAGAGGGGCACCATATCTGAGACTCCATTAACCTGGCTCATATTATTTGCCCCACCCTGGTGATTCCCAGAGGCCCTTCCCCACCCCACTTTCAGGCCCACCCACACTTAAAATCTCTCAAACAAGCAGCACCTGGCCTCAGTGAGCCCTGTACCTCTTTCTAAGTGACACCAGGTCTGGCACTAGAAGCAGCCAGCCTTGGTTCACAGATTGGCTTTGCCTGGGCACCTCCAAGCACAGCACAAGAAGCAACCATCTGCAGATCACTTTGTGGCTTACACCTGGTGGCATAAACAGTGGCTAACCCTGGCCTGCTCCTCTCGGGATGATCAAGAGACAGAGCACCCAGGGGATGTTTCAGACCATGTCAAAGCATTACCACCCAACCACCTCCACCAGTGACACAATCAATGAGTGGGCTTAGTGGGTACCAGAGCCCTGCTGAAGTAAGTCCTGCTCTGTGTGGTGGGCCCCTGCACAACTGATTCTCCGAGGTGGTCAGAGGTCAGTTGTCAGTGGCCATAACCAGTTCTTGCCATTGATTTCCCTGGGTAAATCCCCCCCATCGATGTGCCAACAACAATGAACACTCAACTACAAAAAGAGAGTGTACAGTCGGCACAGGGGGTACACCTTGAGTACCCAGCTTGGGTGATCAGGAGGCTGTGGCACTGGATCCTACAGGACACCTACTACATTTAGCCATGCTACCAAGCCTGGGAGACAGACATAGCAGCTCCACCTCATACATAGAAACAAACACAGGGAGGTAGCCAAAATGAGGAGACAAAGCAATATGTCCCAAAGAAAAAAGAAAAAAACAAAATTCCAGAAGAAGAAATAAACAAAATGGAGATAAACAAACTACTAGATGCAGAGTTCAAAACACTGGTTATAAGGATACTCAATGAATTTAGTTACAACCTTAATAATATATATATATAAAAAAAAATTAGTCAGAAAGATACACTAACTAAAATAAAGAGTAATTTACAGAGAATCAACAGTGGAGTAGATAAAGACAAGAATCAAATCTGATTTGGAATATAAGGAAGCAAAAAACATCTAATCAGAATAGCAAAAAAAAAGAGGATAGTGTAAGGAGTCTCTGGGACAACTTCAAGCATACCAACATTTGCATCATGGTGGTGCCAGAAGTCAAAGAGAGAGCGAGCAAGAAGTTGAAAACCTATTTTAAAAAATAATGACAGAAAGCTTACCTAATTTGGTGAAGAAAACAGAAATACAAGTCCAGGAAGTGCTGAGTACCAAACAAGATGAACCCAAAGAGCAAGACACATTATATTTATAATGCAGAAGGTTAAAGACAAAAAGAAAATCTTAAAAGCAGCAAAAGAAAAGCAGTTAGTTACCTACAAGGGAGCTCCCATAAGACTATCAGTTGATTTCTCAAAAGAAACTGTGCAGGCCAGAAGGGACTGGCAAGAAATATTCAAGGTGATGAAAAGCAAGGACCTACAACCGAGATTACTCTACCTGTAAAGCTATCATTTAGAATCAAAGGACAGATAAAGAGCTTTCCAGACAAGAAAAAACTAAAGAAGTTTATCACCAACAAACCAGTATTATATGAAATGTTAAAAGGTCTTCTTCAAGAAGAAGAGAAAGATCAAAACTATGAACAATAAAATGTCAATAAATACATATCGATCAATAATTGAATCTACAAACAAAAAGAACAACCAGGACAGAAACCGACTCATAGATACAGAGAGCATTTTGTTGGTTGTCAGATGGGAGGGGGTTTGGAGGGATGGGTGAAAAAGGTGAAGGGATTAAGAAGTACAAATTGGTTTTTACAGAAGAGTTATGGAAATGTAAAGTACAACATAGGGAATATAGTCAATAATATTCTAATGACTATTCCTGATGTTGGATGGGAGTGGGATTCATTGGAGTGATCATTAATTAAGTTACGTAATATCTGGTCACTGGGGTGTACACTGATTTGTGTCAACTATAACTGAAAATAAAAAACAATAGAAAAAAAAAGAATTTAGCACAGTGGTTCTCAGCCTTAGCTGCACATTAGACTAACCTGGGGAATTAAAAATGACTGGTCCCTGGGTCCCACTCCCAAAGCTTCTGCTTCAGTTTTTCTGGGTGATGCTCTTGCATGAGTGTTTTGAAGAGCTCTCGTGTAATGCTGAAGTGCAGGCACTCTTGAGACTATCACTTGGAGCCTTGGATTTTTTCTAGTTCACATGCTTTTAATTGCAAACATCTGATAACACCCAGGCGCCACTGGGAAGTGTCTGGCTCGACAATTAAAAAGAACTTTCAGTGCCCAAGAAGACTGTTCAGAGTAGAATACAAAATGCAATACACACCCTTCGGTTCAAACCTGATTCCATTTGGTCCCAAGTTCCCAGTGCGGTCTCTCAAGATGTGGGAAGCCTACCTATTCCATTGAAGGCATGATCCAGCATGTACACAAAAGTTTTCACGTTACCAAATGAAGATGAAAATTACGCCCAGATAGCAACATTTTTATTGCTCGCATCTTCTTTTTAAGTCACATCTTTTCTGTGACTCTCTCTGAACACAACTACCCTCAGCTCTACATGACTCAGAAACACTCCGGATTAACTATTCTAACTGACTTCATGATCTCAGTTTGCTGAAGAGATGAAGAATTAATACAGTCTTTTGCTTAATACATGTATTTGGGGGTTTAAGTTACATGCAGCTTTATATTTCCCTTGCTAAATGTAAACTCACTACTATTTTTACTAACTCTGTACCTTTACTCTCCTGTATAATAAAAATTTCTTTAACAATACTGATGATAACACACAGTCAACCAAAACAAATCAAGAACTAGGCTGCCAATTACATTATTGCTGCTTCAACAAAGTGCAACGCTCTAATGAACACACAGACAGATGGACAGACACACACCCACCCTTTGGGGAATATCAATGATCGAGTCATTTGGTTTTACTCTTTAAATGAAAGTTTTACCTTGGAATGCTGCTGGAGGATACTGAGGATTGTATGCAGCTGGGAAATTTGTTCCTGGGTGAGGAGCATCCATTTGTGCATCTGTAATTCAAGGAGAGGTAAACATTTATCTGCTTTAATAAAATACACATCAGAAAGAAAAATACAATGTCTGTGGATAGATAACTTCATTTACATGATTTTGTGCTGTATTGAAATAAAGTTAATTCTTCACTCAATGCAAACTGTGCCTGTTACCGGAATTATTTTGCCATAGACTCCTGTCTTAAACAAATTCCCTTAGAAAAATAAAGTTTTAATTGATTTTTAGAGAGGAAAAAAAAAGGGAGCGTGAGAGGAACACTGATGTGAGAACAAAACATCTATTGGCTGCCTCCAGCATGCTCCCACCAATTGGGAAATGAAACAGCAACCCTTTGGTGCTCAGGACGGTGCCCAATCAAATGAGCAACCAGGGCAAACAAATTCCCTTTGTACAAAATGAGACAGCTGAGCTCCCGGGGTTGAATTTCTAGTTTTCAACTATGCCTGATGTGTGTTCACTTCCATACTTGGATTTTGTCGGTATTAGAAAAAAGATGGTTTTAAAACCTCAGATAGAGTGTGAAGAGATAAATAAAATTCGGTGGATATGAGCATGGGAATGGAAGGATTATGGATGATTTTAAAGATATCCATCATTGCTATAGGACTTTTAAAACTATGTAAAATAACACATATATATCTGTATTTAAATATCCTTTCATGCTTACTCTGGAACTACCCTAATACAGTTGACCAAAGTAAATTCTAATATTTGACTGATGTTGATCTATGAAAATCATAACTGACTTAATTACAATAAACTAACATATCACATGTTGTTATCTGCTAATCAATGTGCCTTAAATAATTCTAATATGTGTACAAATGGTTCAACATCCTAATTCTTCATAATTGTGTTTCTCCAATTATTCATTTAGCAGCCATCCCAGCCAGGCAATAAATATTTGCTGAGTATCTCCCGTCTTACCTCTGAGTTGGGCTCTGGGGCTATCCTGGCTCTGCCTTCATGGAACCTATGGTTTATTGGATTCTCCCCTTGTATGATGTCCTCCTCTCTTTCTTATGACTTACTAATTGTAAATTAATTTTTTTTTTTGAATTATGGGACATGGCATCAATAGAGAAGAAACTGTAGGTCAGACTTTCAATCTGAAATCTTTCCTATATGCTTCTCTTTCATGAGCCTTTTAAGATCACTCAACACGTGGTTTCAGCAGGAAGGCTGGACTGGGGGCCACTCTCTCCTCCATTCAATCGGCTTCATAATAAGTTCAGCAGAATGGAGTCCATGGGGACTGCAGATTCAGGCCCCAGAGCTCTTCCATGAGGACTTGCCTCTGGACAGACACACCGGATTAGCACAGACTCCTGAAACACTGCAAAGCCATTCTCTCCTGACCATTCCCTTCTTTTCTCAGCGTCACGTGAGCGGCCGAGCTCCTAGTTCTCTGGGCTCCGCTCACAGCCCCCGTGCTCAGCCTCCTTGGAGAAAACAGGATCATCAGACTCAATGCGTCCTAAGGAAACACACCGCAAGTCTGACTCAAAGAGCTACCCTTAAATCATAGGCCACACTGTGCCATTGTTTGAACAAGACTAAAGGTGCGCATCTATCCATGGCCTGACAGAAGCAAAAAATTAGGACCTCATCATCTCTGGGGTTTTGGCTCCAGAGCAATGAGCCTGGCAACAGGAGTCGTGGAAATTCGTACAAAGAGAGATGTGTGAATGGGCAAGTGGCGGACTAGGGCAACGAGCATATGAATCCCGAATGAATTTGTGAAATTCAACTTAAAATAACTTATAAAATCATAAGAGTGTCCCGTGGTTGTAAAGGTATTTTATTTTTATTTATATATGTATATTTATATACTAATGTACACTTCACTTCTATTTATGCATACATATACGTACAACTTACATATACGAAACTGATGAGTTATAAGGTGACTATGACTGTGGTCAAAAGAATCTTTCTAAAGTGATTTGAAGGATCCTAAAATTTACAGCAAACAACACAACTTAATATTCTATAAACTTACATTTTAAAAGCTTTGAGTTTTGTAAACATGATTAATACAGCAAACGTTAAGAGAAAATCATGAAACTGCTGAAGAGGAGCCAAGGTTTCTGATCCTAATAAATGATACTATATATAGCAAGGTTGACATTGTGGTGAGAGATAAACATCTTTGTCTATCTAGACAAAAATAGAGAATACAAATCCTTTCAGAACACGGGATTTTGTTTTTTATATCTCTCCCCACATGAATTGCGTTAGGTTTTCAATCAGAAAATATCTTAGTGCATGCTTGGTCAATACTCAACTTATTTAGAATTTTCTTAAAAGAAAAAAAAGAATATAATGATTGGTATTTATTTTAAAATAATCATGTGCATATATTATGAAATATATATCAGGGATTTATTACAATAAACAGAACATATAAAATTTATATGTTAATATGATTTGAATAATCTTTATGAATATGAAATACACATAGAAAAGGAAAAACTGATCTGGATGAAATATAGCATAAGTTGCACAACATATTTTTGAGTAAGTAAAATTTTTTAGGTTTATCTAAGGCTTTTTTTTTTCTTAAGAAAAAATTTGTGGTAGTGAATATTTCTGTACACTATATATAAAAACACTGAACTAAACTTTGGATTCTGGAGAATAAACAATACACAGCAAATTATATTCTTTCAGAAACTGAATAAAACATATGATAAATAATATATTAACGAAAGATTTAACATCATAGGAGAAAAGTAAACACATAATTTACTTACTTTGTTTGTCCATGATTTAAAAAGTTCTGAAAAAGAAGACCTGATATTAATACATCGGTCACAATTTTATGGTCAAATAATACTGTTAAAGCCAGATACTCTGAAACTATACATGCACGTACGGTATTCCTCCATTCATCCAGTTTACCAGCATCTGGTCATTTGAACGCTTTGGTCCGGACCCAGGCCCCACGGCTATGTTTCTGAGTCGGACTCCAGAAGTCGTGGTCAGCCAGGGCTGGTCAGCCCAGCTAGCAGTCAGGGCTGGGCTCTGGGTGTGCTCAACACGACAGGAAGGAAGGTGAGATATACTGCAAATATCTCTGGAAATACCAGCTCCTGCAGATGAGCTGTGCCCAGCGTGACTGGTAAATATGAAAAGGCCTGGCCCTTTGCTCTATTCTTTAAGACGTGCTCTTAGCCAGAGCACCCACACTCAGGGGTAGTCATAGTTGTAGTAGCATGACAATCCAACTGAAAATTTATGTCTGGTTATTTCTACTGAAAAACAATAGATAATGATAAGAAATAAATAATAATAAACAATGGACTCAGTACTTCTGCCTTCCAGTGCCTTGATCGCATCTTATACGTTCCCACTCCTACCCAGTGGCTACATTCTGTCTCTGCACTTTAAATCCCAACCCCCAGTATGCCTGTAAATGACAGTTAACGCATGAGACAAAACTGTGTTACCTGAATGCTTTATCGTGGACCCACACACTAACATACATCAGCCCCGCCCTTCCCCGGGCCTCTCCAGTCTGGCTGCCACTTTATTAACTCCTCCTCCTGTGTTGACGTAAGTGGGAAATACAGCCAACTGATCCCTCTACATTCTTTACTAAAATCTGATGTTCGCAAGAAGAAATCATGTCCTTCTTCTGATTTCATTTTATTTTTTTGTTAATCCTCACCTGAGGATATTTTTCAATCACTTTTTTAGAGAGAGTAGAAGGGAGGGAGTGAGGGAAGGAGACAAATAAAAAGAGAAACATTGATCTGAGAAAGACATGCTGATTGGTTGCAATCCACACACACCCTGACCAGGGCCAGGGATGGAGCCTGCAACCTAGGTATGTGCCCTTGACCGGGAATTGAACCCACAACCCTTCAAGTACACCAATGCTCCAACTACTAAGCCACACCAGCCAGGGCTCCTTTTAATTTTATTTCTTTATCATTACCTATTTTAAGCATAAAACTTTATAATCTAGTAAAACTATTATGAACATTCCAATTATAGTCACATCTTAATTATGTGTACTCAAAACTTCAGCAATGGTTGAATAATTTGGAATGGGTTTACTTGGCCTTGGAATAAAGCAAAAACTGTGTTTGAGTTACTGATTTGACTTCCTTGATTTTCTTAGAATAATATTAACCCAAGTTTTCACTAGTCAGAAACCAACTGCTATGGAACTCATCATGCTGGAAGGGCAAACAGATTAAAATTTATGTTTTTCTTCAGTTAATCTATAAGATGGTTGATAATAATAATAATAAAAAAGTATGTAACCAAAGTTGGCTAAAAGTTTTCATAAGCCACATTTATGTTTTAGGTTCTATCATAAAAGGAACAGTAAAAGACTAAAGACCAAATGCCATGGTTACTTTGTTAACCTCATATTTCCATGATCAAATATGATACATTAAAAGTAACACCCATTACCTTAAAATACACTGAGTACTTTTATAGATACATAAAATTAAAACACTACAGTTGTGGAGTAGAATTAAATAGTATCCTTTAACCAACATGCTGGACTGGACATCTCTAAAGGTTTTATTTGTCCTCTATTGCTCATAGGACAGCCATCTTTAATATGATTAATTTAAAAATCTCCTATACCTTTAACCAATCTTACAGCAATTTTAAAGGACCATTGCTTCCACCATTCTCCACTTGCCTACAATGTCAGAACGGTATTCATTTCAAGTATGAACCTGGAGGAAGAACACAGACAAGTCCCCCGTGTGTGTATGTGGGGGGGGGGGAGCATTAAAAGTAACAAAATAAAAAAATTTCACTTAAAAAAATAGAATATTTTTTATTTAAAAGTATTTCTCTTACATTTAGTTGTTTGAGCCTGGCAGTCCAGGACCAGCCAGAAAGAATGGGTGTGTCAGAAAGGAAGTCATAAACAAATGCTGTGCATCTCATTAGGGACAGGTGGGGGCTCCTAAGCAACAAAGTGCTGGAATCTCCCAACGCCAGGCCAGATGGGTACCAACTTGCATACCAGAGTATTTGCCTTTCTTTCATGGGGTATCACTCCCTCCCTGCACAGAAATTCCAGGAAGAAAAACTAAATGGTCCCCAACACAGAACTCTTCTGTTCATAGTTGCTCTTCTCCTTCCTATTTGGTTACATTATTTGGAGTCTGTGAGGATGAGTATCTGAAAAATAGCATGGAACAAAACCTGGGCCCTCACTTTCCTGGGTGTTAGAATTTTCGCTGTTGCATAATATCGCAAGCATAAAAACGGTATGTCATAAGCTCTGGTGCAAAAATGTTAGGTACAACCTGCGTGTGCCAGGTCGAAGGTACAACCTGCATGTGCCAGGTCGAAGAAAGCACGTGTGGATTACAGATATGCACCATGTTCATCCCTGTTCACACTGTGCTGTTTTAAGGATATTTTGATTTTCTCAAATGTAATGGGTCTATTACAAGATATAATGTCCCTCAGCTTTGGAAATGACTGAGCTGAGTCTTGGGTGAATGAATTAAATAATTAAAATAATAATTTTTATTAAATAATGCCTCTCACTACTTCTATAAGAAACAAATCCCAAAAGACTTCCAAGAAAGAGAAAGTCACATTTATCCTGTACTAAAAGAAAAACAGTGTCTAATAAAGTCATATTACATATGGTACCATTGGATCTTAATTACTTCAGGACATATATAGAACTTCAAATTATAAATTTCTATCACCTGGAGAAGGAGAAATAGCGCAGTTGATATCCAGTTATTGTTCCACAGGTCATAATGGAGTGAAACCATTTTGACCATCTCTTGGGGTCCTAAAATTTCTATCTCTTTGCTTTCAAAAAGTATGAATCTAAAACCTAGAACCCAAGGGGGAAGCACCCCTCATTTTGGAAATTCTAACAGTACTATGCTTACAAATTATGAAAAACGATATTTGAATTATTTATCCAAATTTACTTCTTAATTGCCTAAGAACAAGTCAGTTCACATTTTTTTTCTCAGATTCCCAAGATGAGGAATCTAAGTTCTAAATTACTTTAGAAATGTTTCTGCTCTAAAATCAGTCACAGAATTCAATGTCCCTAAATTCCTATGAATAAGTGAGAATGAGATATTAGGCTGGGAGGGAGCGGGGGAGAAACTGGACACAGGAAGTAAAGAACCCAACATTTGCTGAGCTGAAATAGGTCACAAATAAAATACTTTCATTGTTGTTCATCTTATGTTTGTAAGTACATTTTGTTCATTTAAAAAGCTTCAGTTAAGCATTTTTTCATATGTCTCTTGGCCATTTGCATGACCTGTTTGGAGAGGTGTCTATTTAGGTCCTCTGCCCATTTTTAATTAGATTATTGTCTTCCTTTTGTTGAGTTGTATGAGTACTATATATATTTTGGAAATTAACCACATATCTGATGTATCGAAGGTAATTATGCTTCCCCATACAGTGGGTTCCCTTTCCATTCTGATGCTTGTTTCTTTTGCTGTGCAGAAATTTTATCATTTGATGTTGTTCCATTTATTCATTTTTTTCCTTTGTTTCTCTTGCCTTAGGCATCACTAATCATCAGAGAGATGCAAATTAAAATGACTATGAGTATCACCTCATACCTGCCAGAATGGCTGCCATCAACAAATAATCAAATAAGAGGTGCTGGCGAGGGTGTGGAGAAAAAGGGACTCTAGTACACTGCTGGTGGGAATGCAAACTGGTGCAGCCACTATGGAAAACAATATGGTGTTTCCTCAAAAAATTAAAAATTGAATTGCCATTTGACCCAGTGATCCCATTTCTAGGAATAGATCCTAAGAAGCCTGAAACACGAATCAGAAAAAATATGTTTACCCCTATGTTCATAGCAGCTCTATTTACAGTGGCTAAGATCTAAAATCAGCCCAAGTGTCCATTAGTAGATGAGTGGATAAAAAAGCTGTGGTACATGTACACAATGGAACACTATGTAGCTGTAAGAAAGAAAGATCTCTTACCCTTTGAGATGACATGGAGGGACCTGGAGAGTATTATGTTAAGTGAAATAAGCCAGTCAGAGAAAGACAAGTATCACATGATCTCACTTGTTTGTGGAATATAATGAACAAAATACGGTGATGAACAAAACAGACCCAGAGACATGGAAGTAGAGTTCAGACTAACAAACTTCAGAGTTGCGATGGGGGTGGGGAGTGGGAGGAGAGATAAACCAAAGAACTTATGCATATAAGCATAACCCATGGAGATAGGCAACAATGCTGGTGGTGGGTGTCAATGGGGGAAAAAGGAGAAACACCTGTAACAAAAATAAATTAATTAAATTAGAATAAATAAATAAAAAAAAATAGTTAACACTAAGGACAAAAAACACTTCATCTGTCGAACTGTAGTTTCGATAAAAGATAAGTAGACCAAAACCAGATGAGTTTACACAGATATGAGGCCACCAGGCCACCAAATGCATGTACAAGGTATGGAGGTCAGAGGGTTGAGGCCGATTTATAAAAGCAAAAGTACCTGGTAAAGGGGAATCTTCCGATAAAAGTCTACTGTATTTTATGTTCAAGAAAATAAAACAAATACTCTCAGAACTACTTTGGGATAGCATTTCATAGGAAACATTGAAGACAAAAGTAGTTATTAAATCAACTGGAACCAACTGAGAGAGTGACGGTTAAATGTTCTACAAAACTAACAGGCAAACCAGAAAAACAAAAGAAACAAAAACGACTTCATGCCAGTTATCCGGGGGAGGGTGTTTCATTCCTCCCACAAAGCCTTTGTGGACAGGTCAGAGCTCGGTCACACACTGAGTTGTTTCTTTTCCTCCTTACAAATGAGGAAACTATGCCCTCAAAAAAAAGAAATTGGTTACTTCATGTTGGACAGCCCACATATTAGCTGAATTAAAATGATTCTTGGTTCATTTAAGAAAGTGCTATACAGGTGTGTGCACACATATATAAGATACATTTACAACTATTATATATTCACTTAGTATAAATAGTATAAAGTTTGCCCTGGCCGGTTTGGCTCAGCGGTTGGAGCACCGGCCTGCGATCCAGAGAGACCCAGGTTCGGTTTCCGCTAAGGGCACACACCTCGGTTGCAGTTTGTCCCCGGCCCTGGCTGGTTGTGCGGGTGGCAGCCGCTCCGTGTGTCCCTTTCACATCGATGTTTCTCTCTCTCTTCCTCTTTCTCCCTTCCACTCTATCTTAACAAAAAAGTGAAAAAATGTCCTCGGGTGAGGATAAAAAAAAAAAAAGTATAAAGCTTGTGCCTTTTTTCTTTCTTTTATTAATCCTTACCTGATGATATTTTTTCCATTGATTGTTTTAAGAGAGAGTGAAAGGGAGGGAGAGAGGAGGAGGGGAGGAGAGAGAGAGAGAAACATTGATGTGTGAGAGACACATGGATTAGTTGCCTTCCATTTCCACCCTGACTGTCAGAGATCAAACCTGCAACCCAGGTACATGCCCTTGACCGGGGATTCAAACTTACAACCCTTTGGTACTGCTCCAAACACTAAGCTGGGGCACTCTGTGCCTTTTTTCAAAGAATATTGATGATGGGCATAGAGCATGTAAGACACTATAACAATCACTAGAACAAAATGACGGACAGTACTTTACTACAAACACTGTTATAACCAAATACAGTGGAGCTATAATAAAGAGTTACGGGGGCACCAGGTTAGACAGTGGGCGAGGTGAGGCATTAGAGATGTAGGTAACTGCATAGGTAGAAGTCCTGAGGCTGAAGGAGCGCATCTCCTTCAAAGAAAGGAAAGGTCTGTGGGCTACAGACCAGAGAGGGAGAGGCACTAGGCGTGAGGACAGGGAGGTGCACAGGAGACAGACCTTACACATCACTGTCTCTCCATCTGCACTCTAATCTCTCAAAGGCCAGGACATAGCCAAGTCCAGGGCGGGGCACTTAACAAGCTTGTTGATTCAACAAGGGGTGTACAGTATTATTTCATTCCTTTCCGTCAGAAAGCATAGCTCCCTTCCAGATCAGAAGGGATCTGCTTAGTATCTACGACCTAGCTATTTCTACCCAAGTGCAGAAGTCCACTCATTTTCCCCACAGCCCTGTGTTCCTTCAGTGTTCAAACTCCTCCGCTTGTCATACTCACCAGGCTGGTATGAAGAGGAACTTCTGCTGTCACAAAATTCAAGGGAGAAAAGAGGGTTCCCAAATCCCCTGCCTGACACTTGGCACTAAGTACAGTGCTAACATATCCCGGATGCTCTTGCTCAACTCGGGGAAACAATCCTTTCCTGCCTGTTCCTGGAACTGGGACGTCATCATGGCACCCCCCCCCCCCCCCCCCAGACAAACCTATGAATAAAACCCTAGGAAACCCGATGGTGAGCTTGGAGAAGCTGGGACCTTGTCAGATATTCAAAACAATGAAAACTGATTTTTCCTGAGTACTTTCTGCAGTGCCAGACCCTGCGCTAAGAAAGGTACACGCACACACTCACCCTCTAACTCCTGTAAATCTTAACCGGTGCCGTTTCCGAGCTGGGCTAAGGAGGGAAGGTCTGTGAGAAAGTGGCTGGAGTCCCCGAAGAAGAAGGAGGAGAGACAGCATTCAAGTCAAGCAGATGGACTCCTGGGAGAATGGCCTTGGCCTGGGCCGCGACAAGCTGCCTCTTTCTATTCTGGTGCTGCAGCGTGCCCAGCAGAGTCCCACCCACACTCCTACTTAGAGT